AAAAGCCTAGTTCCAGGAAGGTCGTGTCACATGATCAATGACAAAACAGAATTTTATTATTTCATTTGCTATGCTCTGTATTTACCATATAAATAAACTACCACAATATCACGTATTAATAGGATGATTCAGAAATAAGGAAGAGAGGGATACTGGGGCAGGATCATCTCGCCTCTCAGATTACACCACACAGTTGCTGCACATGAGACTAGTTCCTATTTCAATACTTACAAGGTCAATCTTGAAAATGCCAGGGTAAAGCAAATTGTCAGAAAGGTCTGAACAAACTGGTTTGACAGAACCAACTCATGCTGCTTTTGCTTAAAATGATTTTTAGTGAAAATATTATTATATTTGGGCTTAAACACCCTTTGAAAGATTTGTCAGGAAGAAAATAAAACATTGATGCTTTAGGCCCGATAACACGGAGACCTAGACATCAAACAAATGTGGTCAGTCTGTTTTCCTAAAAAGGTAAAAATTTAAAATCTCAAATTAATGGATAGTCAGCAGAGAAACAAATTCAGCTCTAATCAGAGTTATTTGAATGTGTATGCTATTCCCAGATCAGAAGGCAAAGAAGATACAGCAAAACTTCTGAATTAAAGGAGAAGTTGTATTCATAGAGCATGTTGATTGCTTTAAAAAATTGACTTGGATTTTGGCTAGAATTGCTTTAAATGTATAGATTTAAGGATTTTCAAGGACAGACACATTGTTATTAACTAAAGGCATCATTCTGCAAAATAGGTCTCTTGAGCTATTTTTTTCTATCTCATTGAAAACTTTAACACTTTGATTAATATTTTCCCAAACATGTCAGTCAACTCTCTCCTTCTGTATGTTTGCCTTTTTTTTAGATTCTACATATAAGTATGATCATGTGGTATTTTTCTTTCTTTTTTTAAAGTTTAATATCCTCTAGGTTCATCCATGTTGTCACAAATAATAGGGTTTATCTTAAAAAAAAATTTAAAAAAAGATACTCTATTGTGTATCTGTACCCCATTTCCTTTGCCTCTTCATTTATTGCTGGACACTTAGGATGAATTCCTTTCTTGGCTCTTGTGGACAGTGCTGCAATGAACATTGGAGGTCAGTTGTCTCTTTAACAGGTTGATTTTGTTTGCTTTGGGTATGTACCCAGGATTGGAATTGATGGATCACATGGAAGCTGTACTTTTAAAAATTTTTGAGCATTCTCCATACTAAAATGCCTGTTCTAATTTATATTTCCTCCCACAGGGTGTGCCTTCACCAACACTTATAATCATTTGTCTTTTTGATAATAGCTATTCTAAAAGATCTGAGGTGATATCTCATTGTGAGTTTAAATTGCATTTCCTTGAGAATGAGTGGTATTGAGCATTTTTCCCATATACTTCAGTCTTAGTTTGAGAAGTGTCTATTCAGATCATTTCCCCAGTTGTTTTAAGTCAGGTTAATTGTTTTCCTTCTATTGAGTTGAGTTTCTTATGTATTTTAGATAGTATCACATGGTGGTATGTAAAAATTTTCTTCTAGTCTGAGTTAGCCCTTTACTCTGTGGATGGATTCCTTTTACTATGCAAAAAACTTTGAATTTTATATAATCCCATTTTGTCTATTTTTGCTTAAGAGCAATTTCCAGTACATCCCCCACCTTCCTACATTTCTTAGTCCATTTCATTCTTCAGATACCAGAGAAAATGTCAGGTCCTTAGAGATACCTTCTATCCAAAAGTAATTCTCCTTGCATGGTGTTAACAAGTTCTATCACATCACTAATTCCCTTTATAGGACATGCATAATGACATTTTTTTCTCACTTTATTTGTATTTTCATTTACTCACTGTCTGACCCCAATAATCTCTAAGCTCTAAGATGGGAGGAGCCTGGTATATCTTAAGGCTTTATTCCTGGATGCAGCACAATATTACTTTAGTGAACAAATACTGAATTAGACCTGCAGAAATGCACTGATTTTCTTAAAATACATAACTGTCATGATATGTTTAGCTGATTCCCTAATGAAAGTGTCAGTATGAATAGGAACAACTCTTAGAATTTGCTTTTTTATTGTATTTTTCTTCCTGGAAAGCAAAAAAAATCCTCTAATTTTCCACATGTATACATAGAAGCCCAGATATGTTCAGTGTCAGGTTTGTAGCAGAGTTCTGAACTCCTGACTGGTGATATTTGCTACCTCATTATTGAAAGAAAGTCCTGCTATGGTATGTAACCACAGGTGACTTCTCAGTGGATTTTCTAGTCCTTTTACTCAACCCTCAACTGGCATCTTGGTCAGTGATTAAAGATGTTCTTCACAGACAAAACCAGACTAATAGGTTTGGGATTGTGGCTCAGCAATAGAGCGCTCACCTCAGCACCACATACAAAAATAAAAAAGTGAAATAGAGGTGTTGTGCCCAACTATAATTAAAAAATACATATTTTTAAAAAACAAAAAAACAAAAAAACTAGACTAATAAAGGTTATCTACTCACTAATATAGTCCTTTGAAACCTATAGAATATTTGGGGGGTGCAGAAATGATCCTACAGAGAATACAAAAAACATCACATAACTTCAGAAAGTGACTTTTCTGTAAATGGGCCATTCTTGTTAAGAAAGGTGCCTAACTGAAAGTATGGCCAGGGCTATTCAGATGAATTTAATTCTTATTAAGCATTAACTGAATTTATATACTAACATTGGCTACTTTTAATCAACTTTTATATAAAGTTTTCTTATTAACATAAAAGTAATTATAAAATGTATCAGTCTACTTTGGAAGAGACTCATGTTTAAGCTGAAATAATATGAAAATGGAAATGGCTGATGTGTTTTAGTTATTTTCAATTAGACATGTCTGTACCTTGTTTCATACACCCATAGCTTAATATGTGAGGATCATAATGTAGTTGTCAGCATTTATTTTTGAATTATTATAATTCAAAAAGATGTTGGAATCACAATGGTGATTTTTTTTTTTTTTAAATTTCTGCTCTACTCTTTATCCTTTCTACTAGCCTTGGGCTTAGTTTGCTTTTGTTTTTCTAGTTCCTTGAGGTAAAATGCTAGGTTGTTTTTCTGGATCTTTGTGATATAGATGTTCATGGCTATGAACTTCCCTCTTATAACTGTTTTTATTGCATCCATATTTGGGTATGTTGTTTCTGTTTTTGTCTCAAGATTTTAATTTCCCTTTAAGTTTCATTGACTCATTGATTGCTCAGGACCAGGTTGTTTCATACCATTGTAGCTGGAAAAATATTTGATATGATTTTAATTTTTCTTACATTTGAGACTCTTGCTTTGTGGCCTAATAATGATCTATTGTAGAGCGTGTCTTGTGTGAGCTGGGAAAGAACACATATTTTGTTGCTGTTGGGTGGAATGTTCTATACATCTGTTATGTCTGTCTAGCGTAAAGTGTAGTTTGTCTGATACTTCCTTGTTAATTTTCTGTCTGGAGAATCTGTCCATTGTTGAAAGTGGAATATCAAAGAACTGCACTATTTACCATTCCTCTCCCATCAGATCTGTTAATATTTCCTTTATGTGGGATGCCACAATAATTTGAGCTCCTGATTTAATACTTATTTTATGAATGAATGAGGCCCCTAGCAATGCCTCACTGTACTCTCATCTAACTCCATGGACAACCTGAAGGGTTGTTGTGATCCTTATTTTACTGAGAAAACTGCGTTAGGTTAAGTAGCTTGTTTCACTTCACAGGAGAGCTAATAAGTAAATGGCAGTGCTTACTTCCACATCAAGGCTGTTTGCCACAAAGACCAATTTGCTTGCCCCCAACGCAGCCCCACCCCAACACTAGGTTCTATTATATGGTATTGACATTCAAAGACACTTGATTATGACAGTTACACCTTAAATGAGATGGAAATATATCCGTACATTCACATAATGGGAACAAACTTCAGTTTTTACTTTTATTGACTGTGATGATATTTTGTATTGATTTTTTTTAATGCCAGTTATAACTCCTAAATTGATATAATGACCCCTTAGGTTTCCATCTGTATTTTGAAAGCCTCTATTACAATGCCCCTTTTGGACATCCTGCCATCTATCCAATTATAAAAATGGTACACATTGAATTTTATTAAGTCAAAGAAACATGGGTCAGTTACCACAGGTCATCTTAATAATGTATTCCAAATTTGATTTTGTTTTCTCCTTTGTTCCTTGAGTATGCTAACAGAATCCTTGTCTTTAGATAGGCTGATCATATAAATATAATGCCCTAACTACTCAAATGAGATATAATCTAATTTTGTCCTTAAGCAGGAGAAAAATACAATGGGCTACTTGAATGTAGATATGTTGGTCTATGATTGAGTGTATTCAGTTTGGTTCCCAGGATGTCTTTTTGTAGACACTAGAGAGTACCAGCTACTGCTAGGGCACCCAGAACTTGGGTCCAGCTCAAAGGAGTCATTGCATTCCAGTCTAAGCCTGTTTCCTAGTCTCCCTCCTTCCTACACCTGGGCCCTTGTTCTAGTCTTCCCTCCCTGCTGAACCCTTCTCTGTGCATGAGGTCAGAACTATGCACCTCCAGGGTTGGCCTGGTCAAGGTAAAGCCCAGAAAGAATGAAATGCAGTTTTGCCTTGATGAAAAGGTCTTCCCCTATTTCACCCCAAGTGACATCTTCACTACATGTTTTCTTATTTGATGCATGCAGATGTTTAACAGTATCAGTGCAGGTGTAGGTGCTTTAATATAAAAACCAATTCTGGCCCCCAAAGGGCTTTCAACAAGCAAATGTTTCTTAAATTAAAATTGTACTTTGTTGGTACCTATGGGGGGGGGAGTTGTTTTATTGCTGGAGCTCCACTTAAGTGTTTGCTACATTTTTAATTCAACCAACACTTTCTAGTAAGGGTGAGTCTGCGAATAACTAATGAAATAACAGTACAGTGGAAGTTTTAAGAACATTCCTAAATTGAACACAAATTGAGAGCTAGAGATAGAAAATACAGCAAAACTATTTCACTAATTCAATGTTTTATTTTGTGTCAAAGCATCTTAACTGAGTTGAATAAGTAATTTCATCAATACTTTTAGAAAATCACTTCTAGAAAATATCAATTTTAATATCAGTTGTGCTAATAGAAATAATACTTAAGAGGGGATTAACTCCAAATTAATTTATTGAAGTCTTTATGCAGGTATCTCTTATATCCACTTAGGTACAAAACTTTTTTTTTTTAAGAAAGATAACACTTTTATTGCATTATAGTTTCATATTTTACAGGAGTTATAATGCAAACTCATAAGCATAAATATATACATGATGCAACCAAATGGCAATGTAGCCAATAAAGTATTCAAAAATGTAAAACTAGAATTTAACAGGCAAAATACTTAATATGGCTTGTAATGGAAAATAACTGCTTAGAAATGATTTGTTATTTATTGCCCCATTCTAGTCATTCTCCATCAAGTGAACATAAAATTATGATCTGCATTTAAAATGATACATATCATCTAAGCCAATGTTATACATACTTTGTAACATATGCAATGATTCCTTAAATATACATATGTACATATGTACAGAGAGCAATATACAGTACAGAGTTCTGATACCCCTGAACATCTTGATTAAAACTATTACAATGTTTCTATTAAAAAACTACTTGAAAAGTTGGCATAACTTCTTTATATTGAAGTTCAATCCTACAGAATTTAAAAAAGAAGAGTTAGTTATAAATACATTCTTTACAAAAGATTGAATAGTGGTCCCGCACTCATACTTTATTTTACAGTGTTTGAAGGTATTTACATCTTGTCCTTGGTGTTTGAGAGAAATATACAGGAGTTAGTAGTGAGAATGTTGTAGGCAGGCCTGTTGGTTAGGTTTTTCTACTTTGTTCGTGTTGGTGTGGGTTCCAATTCTCTTCTCTGGAATTGTTGTTGATTTCTAGTTGCCTTGTATTACTGCTGCTGCTGCTTTTTTTGGTGTTCTGGGAACACTGGGTGACTTTACTTCTAGGAACAGGAAGGAAAGATTTAACTCTGGAGACACCCGACTCGGTCTTTGATTTACTGTTGCTGCGTTCGGTAGTTTGATGGCTGCTGAGAGGACTGACTTCCTGCAAGAGAAGAGAAACCAAACACACTTATCACTGACTTTAATGGTTGTCCTCATGCTCCTGTCTGAGCAAACATAGAAATTCCCTCTTGACATAGGTTTTCATGAAAAACTAAACAAAATATAATAGAGCTGAATGATTCACTGCAGTAAACATTCTTGATTTTTATTAGGCCCTTCCTGGTGTCACCAAATTAACTACAGGGGTCAGTGAGGCAAATGCTAATCACTCTAGGATCTCCTTACCAACAGGAACTTCAAAAACACTAAGCTATACTAGAACAATCAAGTACTTGTAGGCAGCTCCACAAATTATGTCACCTAGGGTCAGTCAACTTTTACATTTTTCAACAATACTTTTAGAGCCTTCACTGAGTTAAGTGTTGTTCTAGTTGTTTAACACTTATGAGAAACCTACCTGCCTAAGGGAGCTTATGTTCTGGAGAAGTAAGGGTCCTACTCAGCAATTCTGTGACTAAGTGGCTCAAAACCTTCCGTAAAGTCACATGTTATCATCCTTTCTAGAGTTTCAGAATCCTTATGAACACCAGGCCCATGTCTTCCATTTTTCCCATGAGGAATCTGAGAGTTAGACTCACAAGATGATTCACTTACACTCTAAGAGTGAGGAAGCTGGAACTTTCATCTGGGTGTTTTCCCCTACACTGCATTAAGTTCTGCAAACAACACAGGAGACCTACTAAGTGAACTGCTCTGTGCACTTGTGAAACAGCTAACATTGATTATTTTCCCTCTTTGACAGTAACAATACAAACAAATGACAAGATGACTTGATTGAAAACCAGAATGTAACGGGGAAAAAGTATCAGCTGCTTTCTCCTGGATGTCCTAAGTTGGTGGTTCTTGGTATTGTTCAAAACACTGGAATCACGTAAAGATTGACTGGTCTGATGCCCATAGATTCATATTGTTTGGGGTGTGGTGGCATGGACACATGGCTTACCAAAATCATCTCCATGATTCTAATGTGCAAAGTTGAGAACCCTCACTTGACTCCTCAGTGTCTTTGATCTCCACTGACCTATTGAATGGTAACATTGTTCTTAGCCCTGTGTTCACCTCAGATTGTTGGTGATCTTTTGTTTCTGCCCATCTGAATGTTTCAATTTTCATTATGTATAACTCCCATAATCTGGCCCTCCTTTATGTTGTGAGCTTGAGAATGGCATTTCTACCCATTAATCAACAAAATTCACCTATCTCCAGCCTGCATTTCAAATTCGCTAAAGCCAAATTTATATTTATTCTCAATCCCAACCATTTCTAAAGTCTTTCTTATTGGCTAAATATGCTGTTCTCTCAGTTTAACAAGAGACTTCAGTCTCCCCTCTTCCACTTAATCCTGTGTTGACAGAAAATTATGGCTATGTTAACAGAAAACAAGCGGATGGCTTAATAAGAATTAACTGCAGAAGTCCTAAACATCTAGGCATGTCACTAATGGTCTTGATTCCAATCGCTTTCCTTCTGCCTCCCCCTAGTAAAGTCCTAATAAACCCTATCACATGTATATTAAATCACGGAAGTGAACAGAGGTGCCAGATTCTTGGCTCTAGCTGATCTTCAATGGTAAGACAACTGTGCAACTCTAGGAAGGGTATGGATATGGGTCTAGGACATTTGTAGGGGAAGGGAGAGAAAGAAGTCCAGATTGCCAAACTGCGACTGAGGAAGGTGATGACTTTAGGACAAAAGTTCCCTCGGCAGAAAATCATGAAACATGAAACACCAAGAAGCACCCACAGCAGAGGAGACTCTGGCTGAATCAGCCTCTGGAGGTGTGAGGATAGGATAGGAGGAGGTATGAGGAGAACATAAGGCATCACTGGGCCACAGCAGTCTAAGTCTGGGAGATCAAATGCCTGACAGTGTCCTGGAGGAAAGAGCAATGTTACTGACACCCAAGTACAGCTTTCTGGGTCTTTTTCTCAAAGCTAATATCCACCACCAGCTCCTTCACATAGGAAAGTTAAGGGTGGTTAATGTTTCCTGAGCTCTAAAGTTCTTCATATTATGCATTACAGGTTACTCTCAATGTTGTCAAGCATATGAAACTCAAAGAAAAACTCCAATTTGAATAGAAGTGTACTACCCTAACATTTCAATTAGCCTTAAGGAGTGATTGTTAAATTAAAGCCATTCATTATGAAACATCTGAAGTCAAGAAGATACTATAATCTATATCAGAAAATAGGGGGCAGGAAAACAGAGATTGTCCTTTTACAGTCCTGTACATCTTTAAAGATCAGACAGTGGAGAAGTGTATAGAAAGTTTCATGAAGGGGAGCTGGGATATAGCTCAGTGGTTCAATCTCCAGCACTGCTTAAAAAAAAAAGTTATGTGCAGGTATATCAACACCTGTAAAGAGACATTTGGAAAGAAAGAAACGGGGGTGTAAAATGAGGATGACAGATCAGAACTATATTTTAGAGAAGTGGCTTAAAGCCCTGGCTTTAAAACATGCAGTGTCCAGGCCCCATCTCAGACAGTTACATCAGAGCCTCTAGGGGGCAGCATTTGGGCACTGGGGATGAAGGGAAAAGAAAACTTCAAGTGGATTTTATCCTGAAAGGTGAGAACTTTTGCTTTAAGAAGATTAGTTTACATTTACATAAAACATTTATTAATTGTTCTTGCTGATTTAATTATTTAATTTTAACTAAGGGCGGCTGGTTATCATGACTCTCAATTAATAAACCCAATTACAGGCCTTTACTGTTAGAGTAGTAAGGGGTTACATTGTGTTGCATAATGAGGACAAAGAAGTTACTTATTTTTGTTTTCTTACAGAGGCAGAGCTAGTCTTCTGGCCGTGAAGGAGAAAAAGCTTTCAACTAACCCAAAGCTCTTACCTCAAAGGGGAGTTACTTCCTGATAACAGAAGAAACTGGGCATGGAACCAAGGAAAGCTAGTTATCAGGAGGATAGAAAAGGAATCCAGTCTGCAGCTTTCAGAAGGCTGCTGAATGAGTGTCCTTCGCCCTCTGCTGGCCAGATCTGAGAAAAACACCTAGCTATCAGGAAAGCGCCCCTCCAAGACTCTTCAGGGGGCAAAGGTGTTCCTCATTTCCCATCACACTGCACATTTAAACCACACCATTCTTTTTACGAGCCCAGATAAGATGACCCATTCAAAAGAAAAATCACTCTTTCAAGACAAAATTGTTCTGAGCTGTCCAGAGCTTAATCACTTTCAGTACTATTTGTTATGGACAGAACCTTATTGTAGTAATGCAATATGGTCATGTGACAGAGAAAGGATACAAAAACATTTCACCATCAGTCATTTAAATAACAGGAGCAAGTCTCTACCACACAACAATTTTATACAGGAAAGTGACAGCTCTATGGAGAAAGTGGCTCATCATTGTACTCACAGGCCCTTCCTGTGCCTGTTCCACAAGGAGTCCTAAGAAATGAGCTCTTGTCTCCAATCAACCAAAGCTCAGGGCAGGCCATCATATATGGACAGCAAATCGAGACTCTAAAGATGACAAAGGGGGCTGAGGGTGCAGCTCAGTGGTAGAGCACTTGCCTACCATATGTGAAGTTCTGGGTTCAAGTCCCAGTACTACACACGTAGATGCACCCTGAGCGAAGTACTCTCCAACCAAAATGCTCAGTCAGTAGTGACCTTAAATATTCTCTAAATTTCTAAACTGATCCCATTTTTTTTTTGTGTGTGGGGGGGTAACATTATGATAGTGTGAGCTTAAAAGCCTTATTCTTCTTCACAGGTCAACATGTATGCATTTTATTAGGGACCCACCCCTGAAAATTCTCTCCTTCCTTCAATGAACAGTTCATCAGGTTCCACATATCACCAGAACTGAAGTCTAATGAAGCAGTGGCTGTGCAGTCCAGGGCTGCCAGTGGTCAGATAAGGATTTATAATTTAATAGTTACACTGTGCCCACTGTATGATCCTGCCCTCACACACACAGGTCTTTGTAAGCTGCCATGGGACTAGACAAGAACAGGATGTGATAGCAAATGACATGGCTGGGTGAACAAACCACACACTCCTAAGTGCCTCTATGAAATCTGCATCCTCATAAAATAATGAAAGGGTAAGAAGTAGTTTTATTGTTTACCCAGGAATACATGCTGTACTGTCTCCTGCCACTTATTAACTAATCAATAATGGTCCAGTGCCACAGTTCTGAAAGCAATTTCAACAGGTTAGTGCAATCTATCATAGTCTTGGCTGTACTTGTCACTCTGGTTTATTTTAAAAGGAAAGTTTCTCACTGAAGCATAATGCAGGTGAGGAAATTAAGATTTAAACATGTATAAGATCTTTATGCTATCACTTAGCCCTTTGCTGTAACTAGAATTTTCTAGAATGCAAGAAATCTTAAAAGTTCTTAAATGGAAAAAAAATTTAAAAATAGAACAACCAAGACAACAGAAATTAGTTTTAGTTTGGCATACAAGAATGAAAGCAAAGGGTGATCTTCTCAAATGACACCTCAAATACTCGACTGAAATTAGAATATCAAACAGAAGGAAAATAGGAATGTTTTCTTATGTCAAGAAATAGTATTCAAGATACTATTCAAACAGTCTTTCCTATCTTGATAGAATAAACATAAAAGTTCTTATTAACCAATTTCTCATTTCCTAGTTGTGATTCACACTGAAAAATTTATAAACTCAATTCTGCAATAACTCTTTTGGGTCCCATTTTTGGGAGAAGGGGACACTCACCTTTTGTGACACTGGCATTCTTGTATTATTAACAACTGCTGAAAATGCAGGGTTGTTTCCTGAACTATCAAGCCTCCTTAAGTCATCCCTGGAATCAGCAATCTGGAAGATAGAGAATTTATCAAGTCATGTCTCAACAGTTACACTCAAAGCACAGCTAAATATCACATCAGGAAACCCCCAGAAGTACTGTCGTCTTCCCTGACGCTGGGGACTTCCGTACAACATGCCCCCCACCCCCAAATCCTGCATTGTTCATATGAAAGACTTGAGGGCTGCATGTTAAACCAACACCAAGTACACGAGAAATATCCTGGAAGGGAAAAGAGTATTAAATAGGTCAAAAAAAGAGCAAAATAATTCTATAGGAAGACAAAGTCATTTGTCAAGTAAAGAAAGGGTAAAATTTGCCAGATTTTAATCATTACCTTATTTTTCTAATGGATAAGAATTTCAATTCATTTCCAGCAAAATTAAATAAAAGCCAATTCTACTTGGTCCTGGAGAGTATGAGTGTTCAGGTATAATAGTTGAGTCTTTCAATGGAACCTGTGCAAGTTAAAACTATCTTCATAGGCTCTCTTCCAACTAAAAGGCATCTGTTGAGAAGTTTGGTCAAACTGTCTACAGATGAGAGGCCAAGACAGGTTGAACTTGATGCTCTTTCCATATTTGGAAAGTTCACAGTTTAAAGACCATAATGATGTGAATTATTTTTTGTACAGGAATTGCTAAAGTTCTGCATATAACCTGAACTTACTGTGAAACTTGTTATAATTTTGATACATGACTTATGTACCAAAATTAGAAATAAGGAATAGCTTGATGAAAGTCAAATTTATGATTTTATAAAAAGCTGACCAAATATGTTGGTGTGATTTGTGCTAATGCAGTTAAGATACAATTTAAACTTCAGGTCTTTGAGAAGAATGTTTGGAAAAAGAAAATTTTATATAAACATTTTGGGAAAATGTCTTTTCTAAGCAAAGTGAGGAATAGTTTCATTTAGACCAATAACTATACTCTTCAATAAACAATTCTTTTACAAAACAAGTATTATCATGTGGCTCCAAGTGTCCTTCCCCCATATTTGTTATTGGTGCATTATAATTATACAAAATGATGGAATTCAAGGGTCCTTTTATAAAGGTAGGTTTTTCTGCTATTTCCAGTCACTGATGTCACCTATTTGGACTACTTACCTTGCTTATATCAGATTCAGATTTGCTGGAGCACATACTCTGAAGTTCTTTGACGAGATCTGCTTCATCATCTGAACCCAGAGAGAGTCTCTGATCCAAAGTCAAGGTTAATGACAGATCATTCTCCAAGGACCTAATGCAAAATTTCAGAAATGAATTTTTCATGTGAGAACAATTACCCAATCCCCAATATGGAAATCTAGGCACTGGTACCTTTTTGGGGGATTTGGTGTGGGTTAGGGAAAGAGTTTTTATTATCCTTTCAAGTATTTCATAAGTGTCATTTAACGCAACAACCCACTTCCATACCCTGAAAGATTAGAACACTTCAGTAATAAATCTCCACAGGATTTTGTTAACTCCCACTCGAATTTCTTTATAGAATAAAATTTTATTCAACAAAGACATCTACTTGGACTGACAACATTTCAACCTTTCTCTCCCCTTTTTTCTTTTCTTTCAAACCAGATAAAATAAAGATGCCAAGAAGTACCATGTTACGGCAGACAATATGATACAGTGGAACAAATATAAAACTTGGCACTGAGACAGGATTTCCTTTTTCCCTTTGCCCCTTAATTTCTGAGTTTCCTTCTCTATAAGAAATCCTTATACCTATTTCATAGGATTATTGCAGAAATTATGTAGGTGGTGGTATGTGATGGAACTAATGGTTGGTACATGACTCGCTAGGCTCCTATGAGACCTAATGCAAACTGCCCCAAATTTTCTAGTCTGAGTAACTCAATCGTCCTTAACATCTCAATCTATAAGCTGAAATTGGCAACAGTTCCCTAGGGAAAACATAAAAATAATTGAAATTATCACTATAAACAGATAACTTAAAGGTACATAAGTCATGCTATACTGTATAAATCTGAAATTTAAAAAAATCATCCTAAGACTAACCGAAAGTTTATAAATGCAGGAGTTTACCATATGTTTGTCAAATGCATTAGCAATGATCAAGTTTGATGTAAATGAAGTTTAATATTTCTAGCCTTATTTAAACTAAAAGCAAAATATTAACATTAAGTGTTTATTAAACTTAATATAAATATTTTTTAGATTTCATTCATTATATTTCAATTTAATGCCAGTATTAGAACATCTATTTCATCATATTAATAGCTTAATAGTTGCACAAACTGATTTATCTGTTAGCTACAAGTTAAATCTGAAAGGAGAACTTACTTTTGCTTTGACAGACAGGCACTTCTGTTACAATTCAACTGCGATATAGTCTTACTTTTTATACCTGTTAAAAAAAATTATAATCATTTTCAATAGAATGAATCATCCCTGTGCATACTGAACTCTATATTTAAAAGAAACAGACTCTGGACCCTGCAATACTTTAATACTGTTGTTGGACTAACATCTACCTTGTGAGAGTCCCCCAGGAACAGCCTCCTATGTAACACTGCCACAAGGCCAGGGAATAACTAACGTCCTGATGTACAGTGATGACTGAACTCGGCAAAAGAGTACCATCTGGAGCTCAATTCAGGAATACTGAACTTCACTTTTATCAGGGCCTCCTCTTTTCACTAATCTACATTTCTTTATTTCCAAAGAATCAAAAGAAGAATTTACCATCTGCTACTGAATGCTCCTCTTGTCTACCCTTGTCTGTTTTCCAGCATCATTGACTCTGTAATCAAGTGCAGTGTTGGATGTGTGGGCGTGTTCATGTGCTACAGTACATGTGGCATTAGCAATGTACTCGTAGAAATTTCACTTTTAATAGTTATACATCATTTAGGAAATAGGAACAGCATACAAAGAAGCATGGAAATTATAACGTTTTTTCAAACTGCAAACTGATATACTGAAGAACAGAAAACAGTCTGTACTGCACGCATAAATTTGATTTGTATCAGTTATATATACTTAAGCCAACACATTGGTCTATGGATATTGGACATGATTGATGCAAGATATATCTGACTGGCCTATAATCAAAAACATTGGAGAAACACTGTTAAACCATTTTAAATGCCACTAAAATATCTGTTTCTGTAATGTTCACTTCAAATCTGTAAACACACTTGAGCATTTAGTTGCTTCTCAATGAATTCTAAAGTTGTATGAATATTGCTCCACAAAATATTCCCTACAGAATGTCTTTGAAAAATAAACTGAATTTAAGATATTCTCATTAAAAGTAGATCATCAAAGACAATTATGTACTATTTGCTCATATTTTTTCATTATCTGAAAGTACTGACTAGTGGCTTTTCCCTAATTACTTTTTTTTTTTTTTTTGAGATAGGGGTCCCTGTGTTGCCCAGGCTTGCTTCAAACTCTTGATTCTCCCATTCTTCTGCCTTAGGCTCACACATGGCTGGAAATACAGGCATGTCCCACTGCACCCCTACTTACTAAAGAAGTGCCTGGGCTTGGACTCTGCCCTTGGGAAGCCTTTGCCAACATCATCTGCCTCTCTGTTTTAGGTAAGAAAGGAAATAAGCTGTGTTTTTATCAAGTTTTATGAATGTCCATAGTGATCTGCATGTAAAGGATTCATGTTGTAGTGTTATATTTTGTTTTTTGGCGGTGTTAGGGATCCAAGTAAAGCCCTCCAACATAGTAGGCAAGTGCTCTCCCACTGAGCTATATCCCCTGTCCATGTGGTATTTCAACAATTGTGTCAAAACTCAACTCAACTGTACTAATTCTATATCCAATGTAATAACTGTAAAATAAAGTCTCATTAAAAGATAACAAACTCTTGGCTCACGAATTATGTATGTACTTGGTAAAATTAACAGATCTGATGTCTGCCAAAGTCAGCATCAATAAATATGGTAGTTTTATTAATCTTTCAAAGAAGTTTTCATGTTTCAAAAAATATCATTTGCTATCAGCTGGGCATAGTGGTGAAAGCCTTTAATCTCAGTTACTCAGGAGGCTGAGGCAGGAGGATTACACGCTTAAGGCAAGCCTGGGTAACCGAACCAGATCTTGTCTCCAAATTAAAATAAAACTGATTCACTCATAAAGGCCTTATACTGGTATAAAATACACCTCTACACATACTGTTAAAATGTAAGATTGGCAAAGTAATGATATGTAAAAAGAGTGAAATCTGCCAAAGTGTAATGATCTTATTACATTAATTGTGGATACTACAAAAAAAATTAATTTCAATAAAGACCATTGACAAGGTAAATAAAACTTCAAGCATGAAAAGATTATTTTTCAGGTAGAGGGCTCCCATAGACTTTTGGAATTGTAGCTATTAAATATTCTGTGTAGTCTATGGAAACATGCATTGAAGTACTCAGGTATTTTTCTTTGTGGCATGCACAGTGATAAAAATTAAACCCCATTTGCATCCATAAACTGGATCATGAGGGCCCAACTTCCTTTGAGCAGCAGACCTACCCACTTACCTTCATGGCTCAGGTCTGGCTTATTCCAGGAGGGTGAGGAGAAGCGGCCAGGTTTCTTGCGAGGACTGGTGTTCACTTTTCTCCAGGAACTGCTCTCTCCTTTTTTCTTGCTATAACTTGAAACTATGGACAAAGGGAAGCTTCCTCCTTTGAAATCAGCTGTATGCTGGTCTAGCTCTGCAACAACAAATTCCAGTTTGCCAAAGGGAAGGTAGTGATGATGAAGTTTCATAGGATAAAGCAAAATCCACTTCCAATTCTCAGAGAGGGACTCTTGAAAAATCACAGTTCTGCTTAATTCCCAAGCTGGGTCTTTGTGGACTGGTGCACATCTTACTTGGAGTTCTAGGATTCCAACATGAGCCAGTAATTGAAAACGGAGTTCTGACTAGCTTAGATGTCCATCAATAAAAACAATAAAGAAAAATATATACACAATGACTTTTATTCAGCTATTATGAAGAATGAAATTATGTCATTCGCTCCAGAACTCTCTTTTAATAAGTACATTGCAATGTTGTGAAGTGCCTATTAATTGTTTTTTCTTACAAAAAGACAAAACAGAACTCCTTAAAAACAAATTCCAACATGTATTACATGAGGGTGAATTTCCTCTCTTCCCTACAGGAACACACATACCTGCCCTGGGGAGGGGACAGCCACGCAGAACAGCTTTGTTAAGCAAGATGCTGAGAGCAGCTTTAACCACAGCCTGCTGTCCTTGGCTAGGGTGCTTTTTAGCAGCAGTCTGCCCAAGGCCAGGCTGTCTTTTCACAGAGGCTCTTGACAGTATTGCTTCTTGAACTCTGGGTGCGATGATAGCATTCCACAGCTTAGACATCCACCTTGCAAGAGAGATTGATTCACCAGTTAGCATCAGGCCTCTCACCAATTACTCACAACTCCACAAAGGACAGGTGTGAAGACCAAGGAGAAAAAACAAACGCTTCCATAGATTTGCTACCTTATCTGGGTAGATTTGGAATAAGTGAAATTACCCAATTTGGACTCAAAAATACATTTCAATAAGAGAAATTCTTTAACATCGTTCTCTGAATCTTGAAATCAATGCCTGAGTGTTTTGTCTGAATAAATGAACAAATAAACACATGGAAAGAATTTAAATAGTGAAGGAATCTGGAAAATGAAGATTTTCTGAAAGTTCCTACCTAAATAGTTTAAACTTATTTGCTACATATTTTTAATAAGATACATGATAATGTATCTGAATATTTCTGAAGTTGGGATCAATTTTATAATCACTGGCAAATTAAATCTGTCTACCCCAAGGAAAGAGCTCATGGTTGCAAGATGGGTGGGCTCAGTCCTGCAGAGAGAGGACAGGGTTAACAAGTCATGGCCTCCGGTGGACTCTATGCACCCACAGCTGTAAGCTACAGGAGTTTAGCCCAAATTTGGAGCACTTGATGCCACACAAAATTCCTTCAAAAGACATTGTACTTTGTTGTAGCACTAAAAAACATTTAAGTAATTAAAGATGGGAAAGTCTGCAAAGATATCAGATATTGGCAGGAAAGTTTTAAGTATTGCGAGGTATTAAGCATTAACCTAATGTGAGTTTCTCTGTTAATGTCTAGTGATGCATAATGCAAGTAAAAAAAATAAAACTACAATAGGGAATAGAAATGAAAATTCTGGTATTCTAAAAGCATTAAACATACATAGAACATAAGCTTTATGTGTTTGTTTGTTTTCATTCATTTGTTTTCCTTAAAGGCAGCTCCTTAACATGGCTATGGGAAAACAACTGACCCTGGCATTTCTGCCCATCCTGTGTTAGCTCTTGCCAGCATTCTTCTTTGGAAGACTGAAGGTTGAAGGTGCACACCTGTGATGCAAATCCAGTATTACCTGGGCCACCAAGATCACCCACTTGAGAGGCCACTGTGGCACTTGAGAGCTAAGTGAAAAGAACCTATGTAGGTAAAGTTCTTTGTTTCCGATCCAGAAACCATGGCAGGGAAATGCCCCAGCTTGAATATAGGCCAACAGGGTAAAAACCTCAACATCTCCTACAGTTCATGTCAAACACTATACTCTGTATGGGTAGTTTCTGAGACTTAGTTTCTGAGACTCTGGAGGTTAAAAAAAAAAAAGTTTTGACTTAATTGTGAGAGATATGAAGGCAGCAGTCTCTATATTCATAAATGCATTTGTTTTACAGTAAGAACATGCTGTCTTTAACATTTCTTCCTTTCCCTGAAGTTAGCTGTTATTAATTTGGTGGTTTATCCTCCAAGAAGGAAAATATTATTTGCCACCTCTGCTTTCTAAAACAGATTTCTGCCCAGGATGACAGAAAATTCAAGAACAAATCCTGTAGTTAATCGCAGGATCCTTACTAAGTCACACAGTGACAAACTTCCCTCCTTTCCACTTGTTTTTGATTTTCTAATTCATTGACTTTATTGTATGCATGTCTCCTAAGTTGCTTCAAATGAAAACATAGTAAGTGCATAGTATCAATAAAGGAGGAAGTTTTTCAACTTATCAAAGTTGGTAGTGGTTTTGTTTTTGCAGGGGTAGAGGGCATAAAAGTTCTCCTCATGAGACCTTGCCCAGGACACCACACAGCAAGCCAAACATGGTTATGACGAGAGTTTTGTGATAGAGGAAGAACTGCTACTAGTTTTTAGCAAAAATAGTTATCTTAGTAACTACATGAGAACCCTGGTCACCATGTACATTCTGTGTTAAAGACAGAAGGTGGCATAGCAGTTTGGTCAACATTTTCACTATCTGACATCCAAAATGTGCTAATGTCCTATTTTCAAGTAGGAAAATAAGGAGAACACACTTACTTCACGGTTGCTTGGGCATGTCCCGGGACTACAGGACAAGACAGGAAATACTTTGGCCCTAGAAGTGCTTCAGGTGTGCCCAAGCGGGCCAGGCAGGAGTTGAGCTGTCGCCAGACAGACAGAGCCCAGTCAATGGTCTTGCACACAGGATCACAGGGTGAGGGCACCTGACCTCTGAACTAGAAAGAGGGATGGACACAGAGGCTTGGCTTAGAACAATGCTCATTTTCCCTTTGCTTTTAAAAGTCCAAAAATAAAAACGTAAGTATTTGAAATGATGAAACAAAAATCTAGCTGAATCTGACTTTACCTTTGCCTGGAGTGGTTGAAGGAGAGAAAGCTTAAAATACACGATTTGGTATATTCACACATTAGAGTGATAAAAGCTTTTCTCATTTAATTCTTTGCAAGCCTGAGGAAGGCATTTTCACTCCATTTTACACATCAGAAGAATGAGACAGAAGGAAATAATAACTTGCCCAAGGTCATAAAGGTAATAGTTGATAAGGTGAGGGCTATAGCTTATTTATTTTTACATTAAAGAATAATTGGCAAATAAAAAGTATAGTTACAGTATACATCATGTTTTTTTTATAAATGTATTCATTGTGAAATAATTAAATCAAGCAACTTAACATATTCCTTACTTTATATACACACTCCTTTTTTTGTTGTTGTTTTTACATTGGGAACATTGAAGACCTACTGACCAGCAATTTTCTACTATACATTATTAACTATATATAGCTGGTTTTTAGAAGAATAACAACATTTGAATATAGCATTTGGCTGAAATAATAAAGAGTACTCACATTTAAAATAATGTTAGTCATAATGATCAGGCTAAATGACACCTTTTTCTTCTTCAATTCAAGTTTAACTTTCTGATGATCTCTGTTCAAGCATCATCCCTGGGGTCAGTCAGGGCAGAGGAAGAGATTTGGCTGTGTGGGCAGCTGGCAGAGAAAGAGGAGTCTCCCAACTGCCTCGTCAAGACCACACGCTAAGTAAGGGAGAGCAGGGCAGAGCTCTTGGTTTTAATAAGAGTCCCCGTGGAATCATCATTTTTTCCAGGAAGATTGTTTCTTAATGACTATCCATGAACTACTTCCAAAGAACTGTTAGGTAGCCTGACGGAGAAAGACATTTCATAATTCCCAAAGGTGGGATGAAATCTGCATACCCTGAGGTCCTGAAAAACAGGTGGGCACCCCTTCCCTCTAAAGTACAAATTTTGCTTACATGAAATTTCTCATCCTGCAAGTTGGTTGTTTTATGGTAACAGTGGTTATCATGTGACAGAACATTAGAAGCTGGTGTCTATCCAATAAATAGAACTTCCAGTACTCCATGTTTTATTTCCTTAATTTTATTACTTTAGCATAAATACAATTTCATAGAGATGCTTAGAGGCCTTTGTATTTATTGTATGTCTACTATGTACAGCACTAACTACACTGTGAAGAGGGAAAAAAAACACATTGAAACATGTTTGTTTTAAATTGTTGCTGGGGATTGAACCCAGGACCACATGCATGCTAACATGTCTTCTACCACTTGGGCACAGGGCAAAGTGTGTGTCCTTTATAACTACAGAGGAGGACAAAAGAAGTGTCCTGGGACTCTGGAACTCGGAGCCAGCTCCAGGGGATGGGAGGTCTGAAGGAGGTACACAAGTGTCTCTCTATGGTTAAACTTTAACATCTGTAAAATGAAAATGTTGGTATACAATATCCTCAAGATCCCTTCCAAACTGGCAATCTTTAAGTACAGATACAAGCCTCTAGGGTAATTTACAAGGATTAAGTCAATATATAACTGCAGGTCAGGGAAAACAAGGAGATTCAGTGGGACTTCAACTGATCTCCCAGGATGTGAGAGACACTTTGGCTGGTGAGGGGAGGTAAGAAAGAGCATCCCAGACATGATGGAGAGGTAACAGGGGTAGAGGGATACAAATAGATGCTGATGTTTGCATATAATAAAAGGGGTGGAAAATGAGAAGCTTGTACAGGTAAATCACCTCATTTACTGTTACTGATTCAAGTACTGGATCTGATCCCTTTGCCCAGCACATCATCAAAGGAAGACGTCACTGCACCACTGTCTTCCAGTTCCAAACACAACATGCTCTTCTCCCTTATGTTCCTGATTTCTTGCAACTGTATCTGCCTGTACCCCTTTCCCACTCTTCTCAGCGGATCCTTTCCCACTAAAAGGCCTTACATGTGACCATAGAAAGGCCCTCCTTCCCATAATTCCTAAAATAAATACTCTTCCATGGTCCTACCCTACTTTCTATAGCAGTACCCCCTCATCTGTTTTTGTCACAGAGCTTATTAGTCACCTGTTCCCTGAAAGTAGCATGATGTCTGTGTTGTGCCTATGAAGCCACAGAGAATCAGAATTGAGAATACAGTATAATCTGATGTCATATCAAATTCATGGCCCTGCTTCTCAGGAAGAGACAAGGCTTAATTAGGTGACTCTAGTCCAGGAGTAAATAACAAAAGTGGGGTTATACTCAAATCCAGCCTGTGAATTAGATTATCTGTCCACTGAACCCACCCCACTGACAGAACATTAGAAGCTGGTGTCTTTCCAATAAATAGACACTATGCCCATAATGCTGGTGGAAGAAACTCTCCTGGCTCCTCCTGGTACTGAGATAAATCTGAGCCCTGGTCATGAGTCCTCACCAAACTCTCTTGCTGATACACAATGTCAGCCAGTCAAGAAAATAACCCTACATTGAGAAATAACCCAAGTTTCTTGAGATGGTGACATTTTTATCCTCATGAATATTCAGAATTAAATATCATAATATCTATGTTGTTGCTATTTTCTGGGTAAGAGATAATCATATATTTGGTGTTTTCAAGAACTTCTTTATTTGAATGTTACATATTAGGATGGTCTCATATTAACCCTTTAAAATGGTAACTGAGTTATTGATTCAGCATGTCATTTCTAAGTTAAAAGGGATAAGAGAATCTCACTAAGTTTATGTAAACAGTACAAGAAGCAGGAAAACACTTAAATTGCTGGGTTTAAAAATTTAATTTTCTGGTTTTAAGAGAGTTAATTAAGTACTTAGGAAAGATTTATTAAAAGTTCTTAAAAAGAGAGATTAAAATATATTTAAGTTTTAAAGGCTAATTAAGTAATTTCCTGAAATTTAATTGACTAAGTATAAATGCTCCTTTAAAGGTGATTATTAAATCCTGCTAGCTTTAACACATAAAAATAAAACTAGAATACTGAACAGAAGAGCTGGAGGAAAATCTGGGTATTTGGATGTGTCTTTTTTAAAAAATAGCATTTAAATAATCTTTCCCAATAAAAACTATGCAACAAGGCCCTCACCCCAGATGATGGCTCCTTTTTATAGGCCTGTCTTTCCATGAGAATGTGAACTCCAGAAGGGTGGGGAGGATGCCCTGACACACCCTACAGTTCTGGGTCAGGGGTGAATGTCTACTGAGTAAGTTGGGAACACTGTTCAGATGCACCTCCAAATAGCTGTCCATGGTTATGCTTATCACAATGTATTCTGATCAGTTTCCACAGCTAAAGGTCCATCAACCCTGTTACTGGGTCTTTCTTGGTCTGCCAAAGAGTGAGGACTTAAGAAGAAAAAAAAAAAAAAAAAACGCTAAGCTTGACTGACTTCATGAATAGGCAAGAAGTTCTAAGTCTGGATGACTGGATCAGAAGGGGAAACTGGAAGTCAGTTTGAAGCAGGCAGGACACATTTGCTCTGGTTATACGTGAGCTTGAGGTAGATGCTAGCACATCCTTTTGAACCTGATGACATGAAACAAACATGACACAGAACAATATGCACTCTAGAAAGAAACTTGAATGAATTCTTAAACATCAGTTCTGGAAGAAATCATCCTTTGCATGTATACAGAGTAACCTCACAGGGCCTTGCAGATAACAGGTGTTCAGAATAGGTTTTCGAATTAATCAAACAGGAATGACGTTAAATATTTCCTATTTTGGGTAAGTGATGATGGTGTATCTGAATCTGTGGCATGCTCACCTTGCATTATACTTCAAAATGTTTTTAAAATACTTTTCCTAAAAGAAAGGTCTCAGCTAAAATGCTAACATCACCAAAATGTACAGAGCACTGTAGACATAAAGAAATTTGTTTTCAAAACTTAAAATGTGCAAATTTTAAATAATACTGTATAACACATTTGATTTAATGGGAGCAATTCTTTCTAGAACTGTATTTGATAAAACCAACTCCTTTCTTGGTGGTACAGAGGGTTCACAAAAGGACACAGATTTATTTACTATTAGGAGGAACATTCCTCAATCATTTAGATGTCAGATATAGTAATTAACATTCATCTTATTCACGTAAATCTTCCTTTACTACATATTAGGATATTGAGAGTGGTGACAACTGTGAACACTGGTATGTCATATACATGTAGGAAATAAAGAAATGATTTAGCCAAGAAAAAACAAGAGTTGTTCAGTGATAGTTCCAACTCCCCTAAATTGATATCCCGTGTTTCATAAGGCTTTGTTACAATAACTTCCTTCTCTTCAAAAGAGAAATAATCATTATAAATCCCCTACTTTCTCTGATATTCTTCCAGCAAGAATTTTGAGTTCAGCATTGTAATTAAAGATAGCTAAATATTAACTTCCCACTAAAAATGTATAATTATTTTTTATTAAACACTAGTAGGAAGCCTAGTATTATACTGAAAGATCTATTTTCTTGTATCATTTAAAGAATTAAAAAAAAAACTACAATCAAGTGCCAGTGTGCTTTTAAATGACTATAAGAATTTGGGTTTTGGATGCTACAAGATTTCTGATGTTTGGTCGTCCCACTGTGCACTTACCCCAGGGGATTCATTTTATTTACCTACATTGAAGTGATTCTGGATAAATGAAAGGCATTATCCTCCCTGCTTCTATTCTCCATAATACACCCCACTCTCAAATACAATACAAAAGAGTAGAGCTCCATTTCAAACAGAAAGCTAGGGAAAGAGGGTGCCAATTCTACAGAAGACAACTTGGTATCTTTTGTGATTATGTGATTGACTTTGGTGATAAGATTTAAGTATTAACATTTATAAAGTTAACGGAAGCATCAGTGATTTGAAAGGCTATATCCCTACTTGGTCTTTACCCCACTCTTCTTCCTACTCATTGAGGTCCTACAATGGCAGTGCTTTGGCCAAGAGAACGTATTTAAAACCAGACAATTAACATTAGTGTAATTTGGGGGTAGATTTCTCTGATTAAATTCAGAATTTCAGATATTAATTCAAATCAGACTGTGGCAGACAGTGTCCACTAAATTACCAATAGCCACTCCCATTCCATACTCTTCTGTACCCCTCTGCAATGCATACCGACCCACTCTAATATCAACAGAAACAGACTTTTGCTCAAGTACTTGATGGAGACCTTGAGTCCTGGAAAGGTAGCTCTTGCCACCGTGTAGGACTGAGGGGGTGGGAAAGAAAGCACTTGAAACATTAAAGAGAAGTCTTAGGTTTCTGGGAGTTTCTGAAAAGATACTTTCCTCTCTGGTAAGAAGGAAAACAAGGAAGCTCTTTATTCTTCACTGTACCCCACTTTCTGCCTTTGAACAGTGAAGGCTAAAGTCCTGAGGATGAGCTTCAGTCTTGAATGGATGGTTCTGAGACACCCTACCCCCCCACCCCCCAATCCAGGCCCTGATGATTTGGCGTTGCTAAACACCTACCACAAGCCACCTGCTTACATGAGGGGGTTCTAGTATGTGCAGCTTAAAATAACATACTGATAAAATGATGACACTGTCCTCCAAATGGTCTATGGTGCAATAGTAAATGAGAAAATCCTACTAAATTGAGCTTCATTACTTCAAATCTTCCCTGAAACTCAGTTATTGGTCCAATTTAAGACAATTAAGTTGAAGAATGTGTTATTTTCAATCAACACAGCATTATTTTTATTTGGGAGACTATAATACTTATTATTCTATGAAAAAAAATCACTAGAAGTTATTACTACTATTCTTGAAAATGTGTCAAAAGACAGACAATTTTTACTTTTCATTTGTTTACCACAGAACAGGATAATAATCCTATATTAAATCTTATCCAAATGGATGGAAAATGCTTGCAAGGCTCATAGGAAGCAGTGAGTTTTCCATAAGAAGAGTGATTAACTTTCCAGTCTAGACTTCTACAGCATTTACACTTGGTAAGATTCCTTGAGAACAGTTAATTACAGTAAAATATATTAACCTTTTCTTATACTTAATATGCTCCAAAGACTGCTATGTGTTTTCCATGTACTATCTACCACTAACAACAGTAAAATCTTTTTAAATTTTCTTATTCTTAATATAGTCCAGAAACTTTTATAAGTTCTAAATTCATTATCTTATTTTTCCCCTGAATTTCCACAGACTGCATCTGCCTGAGGACACACAATAAGAGGAACTCCAGCCCGAATCTCCTAGTAACTAACCTCCCGCACCAGGATGCAGCTGCTGTTTGTTACCTTATTCATGACTTTCCTTCTTAAGAACCTCTGTAGCAGTCCTTGCATGGGCTCGCAATCCCATCGCAGCTGAACCCAGCGGAAATGTTGTTGTACCAGCAAATCGGAGCCCTGGAGACAGGCCTTGGCAATGGTTCCCATCAGAAAGCAGTTCTCATGAAAGTAATAACATTCAGACATTCCATTTCCTAAAACAAGCCAAAAGCAAGTCATAGTATGGGATAAGTCCAAATTAAAGTTAAGTTAAATAAAGAGAAACGAGAAGCCTAACTGGTATTCTGGGGAACAGAAGGGCTAGCGGGTATCACAGAGCTGGTAGAGTGGACTGTCTACTACCTTTACCTTTTTGGAAAGTACATGGGCTTTCAGTGCTGCGATTCTCAAGAGGTGCCAAAAAGTCCCCCAACAACTCAGACAATGAAGATTTTTCCAAATTCTCTAAGATGATGATGATTTTCTTCTTAACTGGAGATTGTTTCATTGGAATCAGACAAGCTGTGATCAAAAAGGAAATTAGGGATTAAAGCTTTTACAAGAACCTATATAAACTGGCATTTTTTTTTGCTTTGATGATCTTGTAAATAATTTATTCTGATTTGTTATATATGACAACAGAATGCGTTTCGATTCATATTACATATAAACAGAACAATTTTTTATATCTCTGATTGTATATAAAGAGTCACACCATTTGTGTCTTCATACATGTAGAGTAATGATGTCCATCTCATTCACTGCCTTTCCAACCCCTATGCTCCCCCTAACCCTCCCTCCCCTTTGCCCTATCTAGAGTTCATCTATTCCTTCAATGTGTGCCACCCCTACACCCCCAGCACCATCCCCATTATGAATCAGCATCCTTAGAGCAGAGAAAACATTCAGCATTTGGTTTTGGGGGATTGGCTTACTTCATTTAGCATGATATTCTCCAACTCCATCAATTTACTGCAAATGTCATGATTTTATTCACTTTTATTGCTGAGTAATATTCCATTGTGTATATGTACCACATTTTCCTTATCTATTCATCTACTGAAGGGCATCTAGGTTGGTTTCACAGTTTGGTTTGTGAATTGTGCCTGTGTCCCTATAGTATGCTATTTTTAAGTGCTTTGGGTATAGTCCGAGGACTGGGATAGCTGAGTCAAATGGTGGTTCCATTTCCAAGGAATCTCCATACTGCTTTCCAGATTGGTTGTACAAATTTGCAATCCCATCAGCAATGTATGAGTGTGCCTTTCCCCCACATCCTCATTAACACTAATTGTTGTATATATTCTTAATGGCTGCCTTTCTGATTAGAGTGAGATGAAATCTTAGTTTTGATTTGCATTTCTCTAATTGCTTGAGATGTTGAACATTTTTTCATATATTTGTTGATTAACTGTGTATCATCTTCTGAGAAGTGTCTGTTCAGTTCCTTGGCCCATTATTGATTGGGTTATTTGTTTTGGGGGTCAGCAAGGGTAGTAGATTGTGATGGACATCATTATCCAAAGTACATGTATAAAGACTCAAATTGGGTGTCAACATACTTTATATATAAACAGAGATATGAAAAATTGTGGTATACATGTGTAATAAGAATTGTAATGCAAAAAAAAAAACACCCCAAAACAAAGCACATGTATAAAGGCACGAATTGGCATGAACATACTCTATATACATCTATATAGAAAGAAATTAAAGAAGACCTTAGAAGATAGATAACTTTGCTCTTGAATAGGTAGATATGTATATAGAGTTATCAGATATTTTGCTGAGAAAAATTTAAAAGAAGGAAGATATAAAGTGTTATCCAAAAGTGGTATGATGGGCATACTCTGAAATTGCTAAGGGAGTATGACTCTGGAAGAGAGTCTGACATTCCTTACTGCTGTTGGAAGTGCACATGAGATTCCTGGCTCCCTAACAGATTTCAAATGGAACCAACCCAATGGCCATCAATAATAGGATGATAAGTAAATAGGAATATATTCATGCAATGGATATGAAAGTGAACAAATTACAACTCTAAATAATGGAATAGAAGACTATTACAAACAATATATTAAGCAAACCACCAAAGAATATTATTTCTAAGTCAATCTGGTAGAAAAACAAAATGGAATGAAGTGGTCACTAGAGACTAGGAATGGTTGGGGATAAAGGGGATTAAAAGAAGCCTAATAAGAGACAACAAGGCATAATTAAGAGTAGAGGAATTATTTCTGGTTCTCCTTTAACACAGTAGGGTAACAATTGGCTAAAACAACCTATATTTCAAAATGAAAAGGAGAATACAAAATTCCCAGCACATAAAAAATGATAAATGTTTGAAGAGGTAGAAATGCTTACTCTCTTGATTATATTATTACACACTGTTTACATATACTAGATTACCATAATGTATCCCATAAATATGTGCTAATATTATCCATAAAATCTATTATTTCAACATGTAAAATTCAAAACAGGAAACACTAAAAATATAATTTAGGCACTTACATAGAGGTAGTCAAACTATAAACCAAAACTAAAAAATGATTATTGCAAAAGATTGTTCATTGATCTGTAAGTATAAGTAGTGTTTTATATGTCTCTTTCATAATACAAAAGATTAAAATGCTTAAATTACACATACATAAAATATTCATAAAATTATGTGAATGGGTCCTCAGAGAGAAAAGCAGATCCCTCCTGTCATTTCACAATCTCACAGAGCTTGAAGTGATTGGACTAAGGTGTTAGGAACAACAATAGTAAGGAAGGAAAAACATCTAGGACTTATAAGTCTTATTTGAGCATTCCTTCTACTTGGGATGGGAGGGACTGCTTTCCTATCAACTCAAATTAAAAGATGCAAAGTAATGGGCTATTATTATTGTATTTAGGAAATGAATAAGTCCCTGCACAAAAGAGTTACACAGTGCTGGCATTATGAAGTACTCAAATTTTATTAATATTTTACTGTATAGATTTACTATATAGATTTTAATCTATGTAGTCCTTCCTATATACCATTTAAAAATTAAATTTCAATTTTTTAGATGAATTCTAAAACTTTCCAGTCTTATTCAAATTAACCTTGAAAAAAGAAACAATTTTAAGTATTGAAGAATAATATTTTCAAGTATTCTGCTTTTCACAAATACTTGGAGAAGATACTCTATTCCTTCTTGTTATTCATACAGAACGCATTCAAATTTCCAAAGAATCCTTGAACATTATAAATGGCTCTCTTCTTAGACTGAAAAAGATTTCCTGGATGCCACAAAGCTTTGAAAACCAGAAGACTAGAAACAATAACAGCCACCTTTCAATTTTAGTTGTACTTGTAGGTGGCTATTGCAATGGGGTGTGTGCTGGATTCTCTTTAACACAGCTAGCAATAAGAATGCTAGAATCTTATGCTTCCCAGAGTTCAAATATTATTCAAAATAAGTGTATTGTGGACATATAATAAATGCATACTTGGTTTAAACAACCATTACAAACCTTTTCTACTCAATGATTTAAAAAACTCAAAACACCAGGTTAATGGTTTGTATATATTTTTATATAATTTAAAACTGAAAGCCTCCAGGTTTTCCCTTATTTGCTAGTTCAAGTGCCTTTGAAGCTGTTCCAACTAATTAAAAGTGTTAGAGGGAATAATTAACTGCATCAAAAAAATGTTTATCTATACCTCCTTGCTACATGTGCTATGTGCTAAGTGTTATGGCATGCTGGAGGTGAGGGATTCTAACTAGGGGAAAAGTAGATTTTTATTAGCCCTATTCTGAGGAATGGAATCCTAACAGATGGACAGGTCAGAGGAAGGCCTCCTAGATTTAAGAGAGGTTTTTCTAAACGAAGCAGTTCACAGCTCCAACACACAAAAAATGGGGCAACAAATCAAGGTGCACTGACTAAGAGCTCAGAGCTGATACATACCTCAAGCCAGGACTGGGCTGGGGGATTGGGGTGGTGCCACATGAATGGAATAGGATCAGAGAGTCACCACCGTGGGCAGCATCAGAGTAGCAGGGTGCTGCACATTAGAATCACCTGGGATCCTCCCCTGAAATTCTCAGTGACTCTGATTAATCAGTCTCTATGGGGTATGGTGCACTGGCATTTTGTAAAGCTCCCCATGACTGGAATTTCATCAGACTTGCTCTTCTGAAGTCTCAAAATCCAGCCAAAACTGCAAAGTGGAAGATCCAGAATGAGACTTTGGGGGATCAACCAGGGAATCAGTGAATTATTTACAGAGGGGCATAAACAGGACTAGACACCTGCTCTGAGGTCCTTACTCTGGGTGAAGACATCAACTGGTGGGAAAAGAAATAAGAGAACATTTCTACTCAGTTCTTACAACTGTGATGAAGGCACGAGGTGAAGAGAACCTCTCCCAGAACCAAGGTACAGAATACAAAGGCATTTTTGAGAGAGACTCAATAAGGCATGGTGTTTGACTTACAGAAAGGGACAGAGAGGAAGAGGGTGTGCAGTTATTGGAGACAGAGAGCACATAACCAAGAGTATGGTTGGAAAAGGGGATGATAGTGATGGCTCTTTTAGGACTGGTGTGTCTGATAAGTGAAGCATCCTCTCTGAGATACCTAGCAGTGGGTCGGACATCATGAGGATGGAAACACAAGGGAGAATTCGGGCTGGGCATCCAAATGGCTTTTTGGCCACAGGTCAAAAGGAATCTACACATACAAAGTGCGGCAAGTAGCCTTCTTTTATGTCTACATAAATTCTGATCAGAGTCTGGTTAAACCTTTAAATTCAAAACTGAAGAGTTCCCCATTTCTTCCCAGGTCATCAGTGAACAGCTTGGGCCCTATGGAGAAGATGGTGGCGGTGGTGAAGGGTGTTTTAGAATATGAAGAGTGACATTAGTGGGGGCAAGATGAGAGGCTTGACAACATAATGCTCAAGACATAACATTCCGAGAACTTTAGATTTCATTCTTGGAGCCTCTGGAGTGTAATAGTGGGGACACTCATGAGTGGTTTTGTATCCTAGAGTAAGCCTCCTGAAGTCCTCCATAGGGTTCTTGGTGGGAGTGAGGCCTGGGGAAATAAGAAGAGCAACAGAGGCCTCCACAGTCTCCTTACTGTGGGTGGCAGGGGAGATGGAGAGCAAGAGCAGGAGGTGAGACAAAGGGAATGGATTCAACAGGACACACAGACTGCTTCCAGGGGGAGGAAGGCAAACTAAGGGATCTAGAATGTTCCAGCTGCTCACATGGCAGGTTGCAGTCAAGCTCTTACCAGGTGAATTTTATACTAATGCTTTAGTTTTGTTATTAAAAGTGAAGGAAGATTTAATAAATATTTAATAAATGTGTAAGTCAAATATAGAAATAAAAATCCTTCTGTATCCAAAGACATGGCATTTCCTACTCCTCTCCTTACAGTAGTTTTTATCTGTTTTAGTCTATTGCTCAAAAATTTTTCTTTCCAGAGGCTGCATTGCAGCTCTGTGGCAGAGTGCTCGCCTAGCATGTGTGAGGCACTAGGTCTGATTCTCAGCCACACCTAAAATAAATAAAATAATGGTCCACTGAAAACTAAAAATAATTGAAGAAAAAATAACAAACAAAAACTTTTCTTTCCAAGTCCAAAGCATTTTATCATTATGCTTTGTCATCAATAACTTCCTTATCAACTCCTGTCCTCTCTGCATGTATTGCTTTCTACCTTTAAGCCGGTTCTCCCACTTTCTGATACCTGAAAAGGAATTCCCCATCTGGCCTTTTTGTTTTTCTGCTTACAGTGTTTCTTGCATCAGAAAATTCACCCATTCACTCCATAAATATTGGTGATTAATACACAGGCTAAACAGAATAAGCTATAGTACTAGCCTTCAAGGGCCTCAGAATAGAACACACACACACACACACACACACACACGGGGCAAAGCAGAAACCAAATCAATACCTTCACTGCCTTCAGGTATAGTCAGTCAATATGGGGGTAAAAAAGATATCTCCAGATGTTCCCTAAGGGGATATGGAGGGATCAGAGAAGCCTCCACTTGAGGTGCCTGTAAAGCATTTTAACAGAGGCTTTCCCCTAGTTTCTAGTGGGACAGAGGATGATGTCTACTTTATCGCTAGTGTTCAACATAGTCCCTGCCATGTGGTAGTCACAGTGTGTGTGGGAAGGGTGAGGGAGTTCACGTGTTTATGCTGTAATGCTATTTAGTGGCAGCTGTAGTCTTCACAAAGACATGGAGTGGAAATGCAAAGGACACACAAAGAAGAAAGAAATGCCACATCTTGCTGAAGTACAGACCATTGGTTTAAAAGAAAATCAGGTAGATCTATGCTCCAGAATGGAAGACCTTGAATAGCACGGACTCAGTGCAAGGGCAGTGGAGGGGTAGGTTGCAGGAACCACAAACAACTTCCAGTCAGAGGTCTGTAGGCTAGTGATGAGTGTTCCGAGAAGAGAAGCCACAGGCAAGAAGTCAATTACAGGAAAATAGGTGTGCCAATGGGAATGGATAAAAAAAGGTCAATGGGATATGACCACAGTCAGGCTATGGACAAGGATGAAAAGTCCATAAATGAGTAGAAACAATGACACCTACTTGCATGGTGCTGTTGTGGAGATTGATTAGTGTACACAATGCATTTTCCAAACAGCCAATCAATGGCATACCAGTGAGATAAAAAAGGCAATTAAGGGGTGTATTGAATGTAGAGAATTTGTGAATAACCAAATTTACTAAAAAATAATTTTTTTTTAACATCACCATGCACCAGCAATTCTAGACAGCACCAAAGACAATGTCCAGTCCCACAAGGATGAACTGCTTCCACTCCCCCTGATACCCTTAGTATACTACTGGTGCCAGTTATAAGTGTGCTCACAGAAATTACTGATTTATAAAAAGGATTTAAAAAGAAGAGAATGCAAGGTGCTCAACAAATGCAATAATATGCACATAAAAATAATTTTTTTGCAAGCATTCATCTGGGTTCTCAGCTTTCACCCCACATCTACCAAATAACTAAAAAGTTGACTTAAACCTTTTTCTAAGCAACAAAGTTTATTTCCTTTTAATAGCATCATTGAAGGGCATGCCTTTGAGTTATCACCATCAAGCTTGCTGAAATTGTCTTACCGCTACTGATGAACAGATCTACTAGCTGTTCCTTGGAGAAACTAGCATCCACTTCAGCTCTCACTATTTCACAGGAGAATCCTGCAGCCAGTTGTCTGTGCTATAATAACAAAACAGAATGATTAGTTCTACACACTTTCCAATTTTCAAGTAAAAGGGGATGGTATGAAATAAATCAATACCTTCATGCAGAGTGCAAGCTGATGTGCTATGTATTCTTGCAGGCTTCCTTCTGGGCCATGGAAAATGACATTATGATATTGCTCAACCTGTTAACAAACCAAGAAAAGCCCTTAGGTGAAGATGCTACATTGAAAAGAGGAAAAAAAAGGGGGGGTATGTAGGGATGGAATTCCCTTTCTCTAGTTATCCTCAGATTGTCTGGTTGTAAAGTTTAAAATGTCTTAGGGATCATTTTATTCACTGGGCACTTGAAGTTTTTCATTTAATGTGAAACATGGGCAAAGAATCTTTAGCAACAGCTGACATTTTAATGAAAAGCAAACATTTATTTGCTTCCTACCATTTTCTACAGAAGGTTCAGCATGGTGGCTGAGAAATTTACTTGAGGATTTTATCTCTTGCAGATGCTCATTACTTTGAATTTCCCAATGCTTATTTTATTTTTTAATAGTTAGAGCAGCAATGCATTTCATTAAGGAAATTTTGGGAAATAGAACGTAGATTAAAAATCTCTGATAGTGTCAACACTGAGAAGCAAAAACTGTTAAACCTTTTTCTTTTCAGGTTTTAGTTTACGTACTTGTGTGTGGGGGAGGATATATGAGTGAGATCATTTTACAGCTGTTGTATGTCAAAGAATATCTTTATGCAGATGTCTTGGGTAAAATACTACTTGATGGGTATAAAACTCCTGGGTCAACTTTATATATTATTTCATCCTGAAATTCAGTGTTTTGATTACATCTAGGTAGAGATGGATCACTTTTACTTTTAAACATCAAAACATCCTGCCTGGATGCCTCTAGGATATTTTAAACTTTATCATCATATTTAGGAATATCAAGAGAACATGTGGAGATTCAGCATGCCATTGGACAGAGAGCCAATTATCATCTACCCAGGGCAGAGACAGGTAAGTCTGCAGCCAAATGTGGAAGGGAGGTCAGCTTTCCACTTCAGTCATTCCAGGTCTGTGCCCCATTCCTAGCACACAGACTTCATAGAAGTTTTCTTCTTTGAAAGGTCTTGCATCAACAAAGCAAATCAAATCAAATCCCAGACTGTCGAAGTTCCAACTTAATCAATACAGTTGATACTGCTTACGCGTGTGAAGATTGAGCCACCAGGACTTAGGGAAGTGTTAAGCCTGGAAAGGTCTGCTCTCTCTAAAACTTGGGACAGTGTAAAGACATGTGTCTTTCTACTATTATTATTCCTCTATTTCACTCTCATGAAGTTGCCCCTTTCACATCACAGGGAACGGCCACAACCTTGATGGTATGTCCTAAATGTGGCCCTGGGTTCTTCGTTACAGAAAGAGAAAAATTCTGGGATATAAAAGGGAGGCTTCAGGGGAAACCCTTAGCATGTGCTAAAGAGGGAACTCCTCCTATATCTGGGGACTTTAAGACTTAAGCTTTGTCATCCAGAGAGACCAAGACATGCTTGAATGACTTCTTTCAAAGGGGGAAATTCAGGTTTCACTACCAATTGTCGGATGGATGATGAGGTAAGTAGAGAAGGGTCCATCAAGGAGAGGTTCCTTCATTTAGGGCTGTGTTTTAGGGTCTGAAAGACAACATATTTGCTAGACATCAGTGATATTCTTTGAAATTAAATCCTATACTTTGGTAAGCCTTAAATAAAAGCCTTACCAATGCCTGCAAAGACAGTGACTGGAGCTTCCCAAGGATGTTAGATCCCACAGCCACAGGATGAACTTGGCATTTGCCTGGACTATTCTCTGTGGTATTGGTGGTTTGTGAGCCAAGAAACGTGGAGGTATAGGCAAGGACCAAGACTTGGGTGAGAACTTCTCCAAAGACACAGGAGAGAGAATATCCTAGAAAATCCAACTAAGGTTGACCTCTAGTCTATAGGGTTATGGCTCCATGAGACTTTAGGGATAAATTATTATTAAAGAATTACTATTGTCAGATATGGTAGCACACACCTGTGATCCCAAAGGATCAGAGACTCAGCAAATTAGCAAGACCCTTAGCAACTTATCATTGTTGAGTGGTAAGGTACTCCTGGGTTCAATCCCTCATACCAAAAGAATTATTATTAAATAATCATCTTCTCTAATTTGTATTGGTGAGAATGGAAAGTCTGGGGAATATATGTTTATATTTGTCATTTAAAAAAAATGTCACCCAAACCGGGCATGGTGGCTCATGCTTATAATAGCAGCAGCTCTGGAGACTGAGGCAGAAGGATCACAAGTTCAAAGTCACCCTCAGCAACTTGGTGATACGCTGTTTCTAAATAAAATCTTAAAATAGGGCTGGGAATTTGGCACCCCTGGGTTAGGCACCCCTAGGTTCAATCCCAGGTGTAGAACAACAACAAAAAAAATTGCCCAATTTGTGTAGCTTGGGCCTCTTTCTCCCAATCTTAAGTGGAATATGGGTCATCAGGCTTCCAGGGCTTATGCAATTTTTCTTCCATTATGCTTTTCAGAATGTCTCCTTTTCTGGTTCTATTTCTGAGGAACATCTGTAATGTTTTAAGTTCTGCCTCTCTACTCTCTGTAAGGACATTTGTCCTCTTAACTCATCATTATTATAACACTGTTCTTCTCCTGCACATTCTGGGAGAGCTCCTAAACTTTAGTCTTGCATGGTATCGAATAGAATATTTACCATTTCATTTCTGCTCTTGTTGCGAGTACAACTTCATGCCATTGCATTTTTAGTTGTTCCTTATATGTCTACGTCCTTTCCAACACTGTTCTGTTTAATCTTAGCTCAGACTCTACAGTTTTCTTCAGTCTGTCCACTCACATTCTACAGAGAATATGAATTTCCAAATATTTTGTACATATTTTTCTAGTTGCTGTGGTCTCATGTTCATGTTCCCCATCCCTCAATCCATATGTTAAAACCCTGGCTTGTAAGATGGATGGCATTAGTAAGTGGGGCCTTAGAAAGTAATTAGTGCCCTTATAAGAGAGGCCTACAAGACCCCTTGTGCCTTCCACCACATGAAAACCCAGCAAAACACTGTGAACTAGGAAACGGGTCCTCTCCAGATATTGAATCGACTGATCCTTAGATCTTGAACTTCCTAGGTTCTAGAATTGTGAGAAATAAATTTGTTTATAAGCCACCCAGTCTATGCCATTTGTTGTAGCCATCTGAAAGGACTAAGACACTAGTAAATAATTTTCCCTAGGTTCTTGGAATGACAACTGTTCTGTGGTTTTCTTTCATAGACAAGTTAATTTTTTAATTTTTTTTTTGAGAGAGAGAGAGAGAATGAGAATTTTAATATTTATTATTTTTTAGTTTTTGGCGGACACAACATCTTTGTTTGTATGTGGTGCTGAGGATCAAACCCGGGGCCGCACGCATGCCAGGCAAGTGCACTACCTCTTGAGCCACATCCCCTGCCCAAGACATGTTAATTTTTTATTATTGTTATATGGTGTGAAACCGGAGAAAGAATTTTGTAATGAAGCAGAAGGTGCAAACCTCTACTGCCTTTACTTGCTACCGGTTTTTTTTCTGGACCCCTTCTTTAAGGGGTCCACTGAGTGGAGGACAAGCTGATGTCTATACTTGCTAGTTAAACTCCAGGATCTAAGAATAGCTGAAGTGGAATGGACTTCTCCCATCCAACACAGTAGACAAATGCATGAGGATAAACTGCACCAGGCTCTTCCTATGTCCATCTCCACCTGGATTGCAGTCTCACCAATCAGCAACAACTTCTTGCTCATATATTTCTAGCTGCATTCTCTAAATGGCTACATAAGAGCAGGGAGCAGAGGAAAATCTTATGTGCTGCAAAAGCAGAGTCTAAATACCTCAATTTTTTCCCCCATAATTTTATAACTGGTATAAATCTTACTTTTGTAATCATTTGGAAGACAGTAAGAGAAGGATGATAGTGTTTTCTACCTAATTTCAGGGATGCCTCCTATAAGTGGGCCTAACACTGTATTGACCCTGAAGGTAAGGGAATAATTTTCCAAATTCTTAACAAAGAAAGACTCAGTTCTATTTTTTTTCTGGTATTTTAAGTTTTTTTTCATACTTCAAAAGTACTTTAGTGGGAAATAATATAGTAGGTACTGGTAGCCAGGTGCAGTTTTAAGCCAGAACCCTTGAGCTCACCAAATTAATCCAAATGGCTATGGATTGTTAGGTAGAGCTTCTCTCACAAGGAATGAATTGTTTCATACCAGTGAAACAGGATACAGATTTTCAAGATTTACTGAAAGTCTATCCCTGAGATTTTCAACTAGTATTGCAATTTAATCTTGTTTCACTCCCAAAGACAAGAGTGCTCTATTCATTACAGCCATCCTGCCAAACTGCCTATACTTCCTAAAGATTGATTTTGAAATCATACAACAGCAAAAACCCAACTTCATAATAATCTGTCTTCAATTTCAACACCTCATCAGTCCTCAGATTGCAGGAGTTTTTAAAGGGAAAAACAGAAAACATTCATTGAAAACATAAAATTTCATTGAAAAGGCCATTTGGTAGAAATAAACCCTTTGTATTTAGTTAGTCTAATATCACTCGTAGGATATGGTGGAATATAAATAAATAAATAAATTATATAGGTAAAGGGAAAAACAAGCGTGCACATTTTCAGATCATTAATACATTCTAATACACTATGAGTCTCTTATTTCAGGTATTGCACAATTTTTCGATAAATTTTTTTGTAATATTGGATCAATGAAGTATAATTATGTTGGTTACCATTTAAAATCTGAACAAAAAATTAATTACTGTGAGTAAATTACTGTTACTCTATTGATACTGGTGCAAACATGAAAAAACTTGGTCAAAGTAATGCATTTATCTATTTCAGAGCTACATTACATTTCTTTGAATATAGAAATCTTGGATATGATAAAAATGCATGCTCCGTGCTTCCAGCAGAGGGCTCTAAAGATAAACAGATGAATAGATGGATGGGTAGATGGAGCTATAGGCTGACTTTGGGGGGAGTGGGGATTAGAACTGTCCTCATTGTGTTTAAAGGAGATCTGTTCTTTGAAAAAAATCAAATTAAATCCAACTTTTACAATTATGGTCTAAATCAGAGTCATCAGAATTATTTC